AGACAGACAGACAGACAGACAGACACGGACACACAGAGACTGACAGGGAGACAGAGAGAGACAGAGAGAAAGAGACAGAGAGACAGAGAGAAAGAGATTAGTTCTAATGTTTGCGATTTTGATAACGTTATCGCCTTATTGTTGGTGACGGTCGGTGATCTGCCAGCTGATTGGTCCCCGCTACTCTGCCAGCCATCTTATTGGTCCCCGCTACTCTGCCATCCATCTGATTGGTCCCCGCTATTCTGCCAGCCATCTGATTGGTCCCCGCTACTCTGTCAGCCATCTGATTGGTCCCCGCTACTCTGTGAAATTGAAGAAGCCAAAAATTGCACACTTTCCGTGAGTCTGAAATCTCACCTTTGTTTTTCACAGGAGAGGTGCTGAAGATTCTGATTGGGCAGGAAACCATGACCAAAGGCGGCCTTTCTTCCGGGGGAGGCGGCGGGACGTTCGTGGCGAGGTTTAACAACACCCCCCTCATCATCGCGGGAGGGGGAGGGGGGGATGCAGTGGTTGCACCGGCAGTATGCTTCGTGCGACGGGACGACGCTAACGTCCGGCCAGAGGAGTTATTTAGGCGTGAAAGGCCGGGTGGGGAATGTAAGTGACGAGGTGAACGCGGGAGGGTCTGAGGGGCACGGGGCGACAGACGGGAAGGGGAACGTAGGCGGGGGCGGAGGCGGCTTCTACACTAACGGCGGCAGCGGGCGGCAGTTTGGGTCCGGGTCTTGGAGAAACGGCGGGGAGGGGGGGTACGCGTTTGTGAACGGGGGTAAGGGAGGGAGGGGCGGGATAGGTTATAATACTGACGGGCCAGAGGGGGGGTTTGGTGGCGGAGGGGGGGCCTTCGCGCCAGGTAAGGGGTCAGGAGGAGGAGGGGGGTACTCCGGAGGGGGGAGGGGACAATCAGGACTCTGCGAATGCGGAGGAGGAGGAGGCTCCTTCAATAATGGCACGGAAAAAAGTGGCCGGAATGGAAAAAACGACGGGCCTGGTTACGCAGTGATCGTGAGGCTGTTTGACTGATAACCGGGTACAATGGTACCCCCCCACACACACACACACACACCTACATGTGTACATGCTGTTTCACATTTAAACATTCACTGTTTTAGGCTGGGTGTCAATTTATTGCTGCCTACGTACCTCTGCCTCATTTAAATGTACTTGGATATACAATGTCACAAGAACATGACATTGCCAACTCACTACTAGTATTCATTCAGTTATTTATTTGCAACTCACAAAGTAGCCATACGGTAAACTTCATTATGTTTACCGAAGGAAAATAGATTGGTTTTTCTCAGTTTCTTTGTCTTTTTTTTCCGTTCCAAGTTTCAAGATGAATTACAATTCATCTACTACAGAACAGGTAGTCGTATTGGCAAGTCATGTGGTATTATTGTATGCCTCGTTCTTGTATGGATGTTGACGTTTTGACTGTACTACATTGCAATCTTTTATTTATTTATTTATTTATTCGTTCGGCTGTAAAAAGACAAATTGTACAGCCAGGGCAGCCCAACTAGCCAGACGGCTATTATTAAGGGCTTGCCCTGCTGACAAGACAAACATTGACACGCACGATACAACAATACAATACATTAACGTGGAGAGGTCAGGGTCATACACCTAAGGCTTATAGGGGTCGCCTAGAGAGTCCCATAGCTTCCTTTTGAAGGAGGCAATAGTGGTGGCAGTGCGAGAGTCAGTGGAAAGAGTGTTCCAGATAAAGATTTACACCTTTTAGTATTTGAACAAATATACATATATATATTCATATAAGGAAAACATATTCATATAAGAAAAATACAGTTTACTTCAATTGATAATGAATCTATACTCATGCATTATATGTACATGTAAGAGAGCTTGCACGTACATAGAGTACAACTAACAAGTGCTGAGAGCAGACAGACTGCAGTTGTGGGTGTGAATGAGCCTGGATCATTGTACAATATCTTTATCATTTTCTGGCTTCTGAATAAATAACTGAGCAGCGATTCCTGTTGTCGTTTATGGTTAGTTTATTCTTATGTCATATACAGAGAAAGTGCCAAACTATGTCGGGCAAAGGTCACCATTACGAGCACGCGCAGAAGGTCCATTCAGAGTAACCATTGGTAAGAGCATCTAAACCAACTGCAAACAGCCTGTGTCTTGCATATCTTTCTAATTGATTAGAGGGTTCTCATTCGTTTCATATCTTTAAAAAATGACCTTTTAGGCTGGGTATAGCTCTTAAGTAGTGATTTTGTTGCGTTTGGTGGTGCTCAAGGGGTCAGAGGTCATTGCGGCCATCCTATGAT